CTCACTTAGGGCTAAATTAGTTGCTTGAAATAAAAAAACCTACCAAGATCAACATCTTTAGATGTTATTAATATTAATTATGTATATATGTCTGTTCAAACCCAGACTTTCGCTCTGCTTCAAATCACCTGTACAGAATCTGTTTGGGAAACAGCGTCTATTTATCACTGTGGAGCGCGTCAGCTGACAGTCACGCACTGCTATATGACTGTTTTGAGGATGGCATAGGAGGGACGAAGGCGCCTGTAATGAAAATGAATGGAATTGCGTTTTTTTATATTCATTTCAAAGTTTTTCCTGCCTAAATAAAACAAAAGAACAGAACAGACTCGCATATAAGAGTAAGGGGCGGCCCCTGGTGGTTCGGTGGTATGGGTTGCATAAAGAAATGGCTCTTTAATGTTTATTTGCCACCCTTCAGAGAAAGACTGAGAATACGGGAGAAATACAGGAAAATACCTTTACGGGATGATAGCGGGATAGAACTGTATGATAGAAATATGAAAGAATCCCGGGAAAAACGGGAGGGTTGACAGGTATGATTTGGACTGTGGGGGAAACCGGAGTACCCTGAGCAAACCCACACTAACACTGAGAGAACATGCAAACTCCACACAGAAATGCTCACTGGCCACCCAGCCGAGACTCGAATCAGAGACCTTCTTGCTGTGAGGGCACAGTGCTAACCACTGAGCCATCGTGCTGCCCCTACCTACAATAATATTTGATATTTGTTAAACAGATATTTAATAAATAAATGAAGAGTAGGGAAAACAAATACTATGGAAGTCACTGGTTTTAAGCTTTCTTTCAAATATCTTAATAAAGAAAAAGTGAAAGGAGAAGTATAAATGGATGACAGCATTTTCGACTTCGTTTTCACTCTGTTTCAGCTAATAATCGGAGAGGAGCCGGTCACGCCGTGACAAACCTTCTTGCCAAAGAGCTTCTTCAGGAGGACGCGCCACCGAGTGCCACGAAAAAGAGCCGTCAGGATGCTACAGACGGAAAAGAGTCAACGGAGGACACGGGCTCGCTGGAGGATCTCTTAGATGCCGTACCGTTACGCTCCAATTAAAGAGCAGCTCTGCCAGGGAAGAGACTGATTGTGTTCTGGGACCAAGTCTGCGAGGGCGGGGCTCTCGCTGAAACCACACCCCTCCAGGTAGACCACACGGCTTTCTAATGGCCGTCACACTTGGGGGGTGTGGTCTCTGCTTGTCACTTATCAATTTCTAGCACTCTGTCACTCTAAACACAATCTTCATCTCCATCATCTGCAAGATTTCCAAAGATTTCCCATGCTTTTGTTCCATGTCCAAATTAACATGTGCAGTTTATTTTTTCGTTGACTTAGAAACGGACACTGAAATTGATGATTCTTTAGGTTTACTGCAGGTTTTTTTTTGTTTTTTTTTAAGGTGAGTGGTTGCAAACTTCCAATATGGGCTGGATGTAGACAAACAAATTAGGTTTAGATCCATTTAGTGTTGTCACGATACTGGAATTTGCTACCAGTCCATACTGAAATTTTAAAGAGGTCCATTTCCCGCTTAACATTTGAGCGCTGTTGATTGGCCATTGTGTTCACGTGCTCAACAGAAATGACTGTGATTGGTCGTGAAGGTCATCAGTTCACCAAACTCACTGCTGTTTACTGAGTGTTACCACAGATGCAGGGACACTGGAGTGTTTTAAAGCTGTGGAGATCAGCCAGGCTGTTTATAAGCTGACATACAAGCGATCAGCTGACGAATCCCCGCTTTAAAACGCTCCAATGTCCCTGTATATGTGTTTACACTTAGTAAACAGTGGTGAGTTCGGTGAACTGATGACCTACACAGCCAATCACAATCATTTCTGTTGAGCGCAGTGGCAAATCAGCACTGTTACGTTAGCAGGAAATAGACGTTATTATCGTATGGTGCTGAATTCCAGTATCGTGACAACTCTAATTCCAATATGAGCTGCGTGCAACCGCTGACCGTTAAAATAAGTGAAGTAAATCCAGTGAAGCATTGATTTCAGTGTATCATTGTTCAAAAAGTTACATTTATTTTACTGGACATGCAAAGTGCCAATAACGTTGAACGCATCCATGAGCGCATGCTTGGTTGTTGTCTAATTGAGGTGGTCTCACTAAGGTAGTCCATCAAACATGCTGAAGAAGGTCTGGTACCTGTTCAGGAGACTAGTTTTCTCATCACTTTCTCAGTCGTTCAATTCTCTCAGCGGTGTCGTCTAAATATCCGAAAATGTCTAAATATTCGATTTTCACTAGCTAAAACCTTGCAGCTTATTCATAAAAGCAGTTTTTGTATATTTGACATTGGATTAAATGTGATGTATTGTGGATAAAATCGATGTAAATTGTTGTCGATGATTTGCTTTGGAGTGTTTAATATATTATAATCTCTGCACTGGCTACGTTTTCGACCAATCCTTCGTAAAATGGCGTCGGTTTTTGTGTCTTTCTGATAACATCGCTGTAGTGGACTTACTGTTTTGTTCACAAACTGCTGATAGAAGTATGATAAATCATGTTTAATTTGCTTCCAGATGGTGATTTTGAGCTTATATGTGAGCCGCAGATTGTCTAAAAACATTTTGAGGCCTGAACTAATAATCAGGCGGGACGTTTGGCGTTCGTTTTACTGTGATGAACGGTTTGATCAAGCCAAATCTGACCATGTTTGTCATTGGTGCTGAAATATCTCTGCATAGTCATTTTCATTGCAGTCAGATCCCAGTCGTATGTATCAGATACTGTTCAATGAGTCGACGGTTAAGATTGTTTCTAAGTCAAACTTGTCGTGTGACCTCTGCGTTTCAGCTTTGCAATATGAACGATGATGTTGGCTGAATGTTTGAAGGTAGAGATCACTGTTCAAAGCCATAGCTCGGACTGCTTTCGTCAAGACATCCTGAGAAATCTGTCTTCCGGATTATCGCTATATTAAAGTATGTACGTGCATTTTTGTGGTGTACGAACGTGAGCATGTTTCAGCAGTGATCCTGAACGCTGCCTAGACGCCAGCAAATCTGAGAGAGAACACAAGTTTTTAAAGCCAAATACGCAAATGTTAATGTTTGAGGATTCTTGCGTAAAGGCTGATCGATGCGTGTGCAACGCTTTCACTTTCTTGGAAAAGCTGGATAAAGATCACTGGAAAAAAAAACAGAGACTGTGCGCTTTCTCTTTGTATGGATGTTTTTTAAAGCAATTTCTTTCAGTTTTTAATTGTGGATTGTTTTACTGTAAGAATTTAGAGGCTGTATTGGTGAGATCTACTTGGTCAGATTGTGTATATTGCGTTGTTTTTGACTGTAGAGATGTTTATTCTGGTTATCTCTAAACCCACACCATTAAAATATCTTCTTTAATACTTATTGTCCATTCATTTTGTGTCTGTATTGTATATGTACGGGTCTTGAAAGGGCATTTCTTGAAAGTGAAGAATGGAAACATTGATTGTTTTTACTTGCATGAGATTATGTTAGGTAACGGGTCTGTGACGTCATCGACTTTCACTTTAAGATTTAAAGGGCCAGCATTGCACCAGACCTCCTTAAGTAGTTTTGTTTGAAAGTGCAGAATCTATATTTTATGGAAATATGTGTCAGTTTGGTTTTTATTCTACTGTACAAAAGTTATTTACACTTAAATACACAGTATTGTGGATACCCGAACTAGGTATTGAACATTGGTTTATTTTCATAGGACACATGTACAAGTTATAGCTCAAATGAAAGCTCTTGCTGGTGCTCATACAGTTCTAGCATTCTTTTTACTGACTTATATTTACATATTAAACAGTTGCCGAATGAATCGAGGTGTTTCCATGGCGCAGAAGTGAAAACAATACATTTATGATCAATAAGCAGCCCCAGATAGCACAGACAGCTGTCATCTCTTACCTTATTCTGTGCGCTTCAGGGCCATTCTCCTCTGTTTTTGAGGTGATGTGCATAAGTAATCCTTTTATATGTCTGACGTGCTCCAAACACAGTGAATTATGTTTGATCAAACAAAAGAATCATGAAATATGAAAACAATGATCGCTCCCTGTGGCTTGTACAGCACCTCTCATCAGTTGGAATACAATAACATTTGCATAGATTATGGTGGAGACAGTTTTCTTTTTATCTATGATTACAGACATGTGCAGGAACCACCAAAATTAATTACAGCCCCCTAGACCACACAGAACCTAAAAGGTACACTTTCACATTTGAGTTTATAAAAAAAAAAATACAATAAGCGCCTCTTTTTTAGGTGTTTATTATAACACAGACAACATATACAGATATTTTAAGCACTTTCAATAGTGTTTCATGGAAATTCAAAGGGTTTTCTTTAAAATGATAGCAAATTTGTGCATTTACACCTCTGCATGTGGATTTGGGAAGCTTTTAAATTTGGGCAAAATCCAGGCGGAAATCCCCAAATAGCATTTGACCTTAGGAGGTTAAAATGTCAATTTGGTGCATTTTAGTATTGGACTTGTAGTAACTGGAATTCTTTGAAGCACTATTTATGTATTAAAGACTACAATTTTTACTACTACTTTAATGTGAATTGCATTTAAAACTAAAATCTGGTATGATTAATGCTAAATATGATGATGATGATGATGATGATGAGTCTTTATTTGTCACAACACTGTTAAATGCAGCGAAATTGCCCAGAACAGAACTGTTAGGTGCACCACACATTATACTATTAATGGCAGATTTGAGCTTCAGAAAACAACAAATTATTGTCTATGCATCGAATAAGAGAAAAAGCTGAACTAGTAATTCTGTTTTCCATTATTATTATCAAAATTACAACATTTTAGGAAGGGAAAAACAAAAGGACCAAAACAAAGGAAATTCACAGAAGAGCTAAAGTATAATATTAAGAGGATTTATATTTATATATATATTCATTAATTAATTTTTTTGTCGGCTTAGTCTCTATTAATCCGGGGTCGCCACAGCGGAATGAACCGCCAACTTATCCAGCAAGTTTTTACGCAGCGGATGCCCTTTCAGCCGCAACCGATCTCTTGGAAACATCCACACACACATTCATACACACACACTCATACACCAGGGACAATTTAGCCTACCAATTCACCTGTACCACATGTCTTTGGACTGTGGGGAAAACCGAAGCACACGGAGGAAACCCACGCGAACGCTGGGAGAACATGCAAACTCCACACAGAAACGCCAACTGAGCCGAGGCTCGAAATATATATATATATATATATATATATATATATATGTGTGTGTGTGTGTGTGTGTGTGTGTGTGTGTGTGTGTATGTATATTATATATATATGCACATATATACACATA